AGTTCGGGTGTAACCGAACCGTTTTATACTCTCGCAAGGTAAAGTGATATACTGGATTTCCGTATATATTTTAATTGGAAGTAGAAAGTATTGCATCCCTTATTTACAATCTCAGCCAAGAAGATACACTATTATGAGAAAGAGATTCTTTCGGAATTTCATTAAGATTTCTCACATATAAACCGATTGATGCGCTGTAAAGTTCATTTGTATTAGGTATTTGGGTTAAGGGATCGATTTTACCCATTTTTGGTAAAGGGCGAATTTTAATACTAGAAGTCATAGACTAACCCATATGTTCGGTAAAAAACCAGCCATATGCACTGGTGTCCACATATTTGCTGTCTGGGTCCTTGAAAAGTTATAGTCCGATTTTGACAATTTTTGGACGTTAAATTAAATACTTTGAGGACACTATTTGTGTAATGTTTTACCTTAATAACGGCATTGATCTTTGATTTGTATACTGTAAAGAGAAAGAATCAGATAGAATTGAAAAGTTTTTTATAATCGAAGTAGGCGTGGTTATCAACCGATTGCACCCATTTTCACAGTATGATAGAAATGATTGGGTAACCACAATGGTTGAAAATGGTTTAGATATCACCTATTATAAAAAATATAATATAATATATTTATATACATATATATTACTGTATATATAATATATGTGGATTAGTTTTAGGTGATACAAACAACCGTTAATGGAACAAAACTATTATACTCTGTAGCAACATTTTGCGAGAGTACTTGTATAAATATACCGACATGTTGTTGTTGTAAAAGCGATGATATCACCAGGCGAGGTATGTATTCTTCAACCAGTTGTTTATTTTTAGTTTCAAATGCTTCTTTTTGTTGATCTTCACTTCCTCGTTGTTTAGTTCCGAATTGATAAACAAATTAACTATTTCGCTGCGTTTGCTTGTCAATTTTTGCATAACTTTTGTTGTCTAACGTCTAACGTCCATTGGCTGTGACGTCAAAGGATTCAACAATATTACATACAATTTGCTATAGACCGAGGCTTAAACGATATTCTCAGCCTGTATAATTTGAACCAAAAAATTTAATATTTCATACACCATAGTTAGTTATATCAGAATTTAATAGAAAGTGTTGGAGTTTCGATTCAATATTGATTTGTTTAACATGCTAATATCTGGTAAATTTTTTTCAGAGTGAAGAAAAACAACAGAAAGCGGCTTGCCCGATCAGTAGCACCTCCTTGCCGTTTCTCCTTCATCACCACTCCCTCTTCTACAAACTTCGAGCTGTTGTAACAAAAATTGCTGTACCTGAACACTGTCTAAAGCATTTACAACGGTATAAGCAACCAACATTTGTCCAGTACCATGTTCTGCATATGATGATATATCATCTTTGCTTTAATCTCGAAATGGTCAATGACTGATTATGACACTTTATTTGATTCATACTAGTTGATTGTTCGATTTATTTCTCTTTAAGAAATTGGGAATTTCTCGCCCAAAAAAATCACCTAAAATAAATGGAATACAGTGTGTATGTACTCATAGATATTTCATTGAATTGGCAGAACTTCTGTTGTTATCTCATTACACCAGTTTATGGTTCGATTCAATAGTCTTAATAGGAACCTTGAGACCCTCGGAGTCATAGACAACAATTTTTTTTCATTTTTTCCACATATAATATATTTTATTTGTTTCATGTAGCTAATTGCATTATAATTTCTTTATATATTATGATTCTGGTTATTAAATTTACTAATTTATGTATACAAATTTCTTCATAATTAAGAAATATTTATTATTTTACATGCAGCATCCCGTTTTAGATCTTCGTTTTACGCATACCGACTCGTTTTCATTTCTTCTGCTTTTTTTTTTGCGATCTACGTCTTTTATAATCAAAGGTGAGCAACTACTTTATTTAATCATAATCTAAATATTGTATTTCTTCAAATTCGGCATTTGCATATACATACAGTGCGCGAAATTTGGTTAGCCGCAAATGCTTTTTTGTGGTTTAACATAAGAGTTATTATCAAAAGTAACTGAATATAGAATATTTCCAATACTTCTTTATTAATAAAAAAAAAACTAGAAAATACAACCTTACTATACGCGAACTTTACTTAGCCGCATTACAAAAAATTAGAAAGTTTAGTTTTAAAGTTTTACGCAAAAGTTTCATTTTAAAATACTTGTAAATTTCTGGCTGTGATCGAGTCAATTAACTTTGGCAAAATATCTCTGTCGAGATTCAGCCATATTTGCTTCTTGGAAACGTGGAGACTGGCATTGTCCTGTTGAAAGGTAAACTTACTTTCGACGTTATCCTCCAAATACTAAATGAACACATTATCATCGTAATTGAACAAAGTTTGAGCTTTCCATGGTAGAAAACCTACCTTATATTATTACGGCTTCATCCGCGAAATTGCGGCTCATTCCAGAGAGATTTTTTTTTTTTTTTTTTTTTGTAAATAACAAAATCTAAATTAAATTGTTTTTAGTCTGAAAAAATGATATCGTGCCAGCTATCGGTTTAATTCATATGCCTTTGCGCATATTTAAGTCTGGCTACTTTATAGGCATGCGTAAGTTATGTTTTTTTTTTTTAATGACTTTTTTCACTTGATGTTTCTATCTGCAACTAAAATCTTTTGAAATCTTCCTTTTCTAATTGGCAGATTTATTTTGCTATTATTTCAGAGGTACTTATTTCACAGAAACACAGAAAACTTCTCACGACTTTCTCTAACCTTTTGATTTGTTGGCTGGAAAGGCCATTTTCTTTCAAAATTTTAATTTTAGCTTTTCCACATTATTTAAAAAGAGGTTTCTAGCCATTCTAATCACACTGTTATCAACTGAATAAAATCACATTAAATAAGCGTAAAGGCTAACAAAACTTCACAAAAAATTACCGCAAAAACGATGAAGATAAGACTGCAGATAATCAAAGTTTCCATCGGTTATCTGACGGTATTCACATTTTGTTGTTTTAGTACCGTTATGCTCTTTTTTTTGTAGGCATGCTAACAGCGACGAAATGTACTTCCGTATACGACTGTGTTAAGTGTGACGCGCAAAGGAGAAATAACGTCGCCCAATGAAAACGCGCCACCGCATTTTGAATAATACTTGAAAATTATCTAATTTTGAAATAAAAGGAATTATGAAAGCCTATGTTTACGTTTCAAAAGTATTACTTGTGGTTTTTTGTTATAGAATTTCGGCTTCCTCGCTGGCATGGGCAGTTGAAAGCAGTAGCACGTTTTTCTTCACATGTGTTGTAAAGGTTACTTATTGCATTGATTTTGAGAAACAAAATACTGATTCAAACATACTTTCGTTTTTTTGCTTCTTCAGAGGATGTAAAGAGTTTTGACAGTTGCGGCTTATTGCCTCGTATTGTGCCCACCAATGTAGTATTCTGCACAAGCGAATTCTCCGCCAAGTCATAGCTTTTGAGAAAGTTGTCCATTGTGATATCCACACCCCTGTACAAATATCGTTTGCGGAGTCGCATAACGAGATTGCGCGCAATTCAAGTCGACCGCTGTTTATTAGGCTGTGCTCCCAAATAAACTTCGTCTGCAAGTGGATAGTTAGTTTTTGCGAAAAGCCAAAATATTTGTATGCCATATTTTCCAGGCTTTAAGGGCACTTAAACTGCAACGGTTTCGGTTTAAAAGTAACTGCTCATCAACTGTCAACTATTTACCTGGACGACTGTCATCGTCAAATTCGCCATGAATAATGGGGTATAAAATTATTGCAATAGAAGCATATAGTTCGTCAGCATTTGTGTCGTGCCAATATCTTAATTTTTTTAGAACTCTTTGATGTATGTATATTTGCCTGTATTACTCTTTAAGCTTTCATCTCCGTCTCAAGAGCAATACCTTCAACACGAGACACTGGGAAAACGCGATTCAAATGTCATCGCTTTTTGATCAAAAACTTTCCGTGCATATTGATGTTGATTCTCTATGAATTTCCAATGCCAGTTCTGAACGCCGTTTTTCAGTTTGGCTTGGCAGTAACCATCATACAGTTTGATCTTTAATTCGCTGACCACAATATTTTTCCCCACGTTTACCCTCAATAGCCGAATTTGACAAATCAAATTTGCTTTCGCCAGGATCCATATCTACAGCAGCCTCCTCGTGGACATATTCTTCGAAACATGGATATATTCCTAAGATTAAAACTGTCGCATCCACAGTTACTTTTTTTTATTTTAAGGGTACGGCTAACCAAAATTCGCGACCTGTACAAGCATTTATTGTTTCACTCGTTTTCGTCAGGCAATTATATAAATGCAAGTATATAACAGCTTTGATCAATATACTCTTTTTGTTACTAATGAGATGCAAAGAACTTGAATATTTCATTGCATAACAAACGACAGTAGTATTGTGAATTCGGCAACAACCCAGTAGGGAAATTACTTGTTCGATTCTATTTGGAGTCGAGTACCAAACGCTTATATTTAAAGCAAAACAAGCTAAACAAAGAAAAAAAAAATTTTTTTTGCTTTGTATAAATAAAATAGACTTTAATATGTGAAAGAAATAAAAAATTATTATTAAAGCTTCTACGAGTAAAATACGTTTGAGTTTACAAAAGCACTACAATTTTTTGCCCCTGACTGTCATCCAGAAACTCTTCACATGGTGCCAGGCTCGGACAATCAGCTGTTAATTGCATATTGCAGAGAATATTAATGAATATCTCATTAAATACATTCTCTGCCGGGAGAAACCCAAAACAGGAGAATGCTAATGAATTATCCATAGAAACAAAATATAGCGATAAGTTTCGAAGGTAATGTTCGCCTAAACGCCTCAGACATGGGGGACATAAGTATGTAAGCGTCATTGGTAGATTGGTGAAAGATTATATTATAGTACGAAAGATAATTCCAAAATAACTTGGGAGAACTCTACCCAATTGACAGCGATACTGATACTTTGTAAGAAAAAGTCGCAATGGTTTTAAAATTCTTCTATAAATTATATGGATATGTGAATGATTTAAATTAAGATGCTCACAAAACACATACATTTGTCACTTTATTAAAATTAAATTTAAAATTATTATATTTTGTATAAGGTTAATTAAGTTTTCCGCTTTCCAGAATTTGCAAAATTTTATCAAGTTTTTTGTTTTGTTCTGACAGCACCATATTTAAATGTGTAGTAATCTTACGTTCTAATTGTTCAAACTTATTGTCTATGTGAGTCTTTAATGTAGCTTCGAGCTCCAATGAAGGTGCTTCGCTGTTAGCCAGCGCCTGCTTCATTTGTTCTAAAAGTGTTGTGGAAGATTGGACATTTCCCATGCCCTGCATTTGTTTGGCTTTTTGCATAAATAACATGCATTTCTCAGCATTTGGTGATATTTTCTGCCCCGTGTTTAGCATCTTTTGAACATTTTCCATATTGATTTCTATTCCCGTCGTTATGCCATTGGGGTTGGGTGCCATTTGTATTAAAATACCAAATATGCAGATATCATCAGTCGGTGTCAGCAACTAGGTCATATCAAAATCATAATAAAATAATGGTTTATCATTAGGAATCACTATTTACCTTAAGTAGTAACTCAGTAATGCCTGATTTCTGCACCTCAATATCATAGCGATATGAGAACACTTCACCGCCATCATTATCATCCTCATCGTCTGCAATTTCACCGTACAAAGTCTCTGCATATTCCTTAAGTGGTCCCAAAAAGAGTTCGAGTTTTGGAGCTGTACATACTAAGGATAAGGAGTCAATTTTGTAAAAAGGTCGTTTCAAACGAACTAGGAGATCACATGCATCCTTGTATTCTCCTTTTTTAAGGAGAACTGCATTTTCATTTTTTATAATTTGATCCAAAGAAGGTCTATAAAATATCGTCACGTAAAAGTATTCAAAAACAGTAATACAATTGTTTACCTTATGAAAATGTCCTCATGGGTTATTCTAGTTTGTAGGGTTTGTGATAGTTCACAGCCTCCAACCCTTTTCCAATTACTTTCCGCTAGCGCACTTATTGAAGATTCCATTGCATAGTCCTTTGTTCACCAATGGTTCACCAAACTGGTTTCAGTTTTCCTCTTTGTTTACAAAACTAAAAACAGAAGAATGTCAACGAAGTGTTGTCAAGCCCTACATATGTATGTATATACGAACTGTCGAATTTGTCAATTTCTAGTTAATAAACATTGTCAGAAGTAGTCTATACTGTTTAAATTATTTTGAAAATTACAAAAATTTAGATAATATGAAATTTCAACATTATAATTTTTGGCTTCGGATTTATTTTGACTTATAAATAAACTAGATCTTGCAACCACAAAATTGCTTACTACAAATCAGCTGATCTGCTGAATTAATTTGGCATTAGTTTTGCAATATGGCATCGCGGCACCCTACCGTTTTTAGTAAATTAGGAATAATTTTGACCAGGCAATTTAGCACTGCCGTTGGATTTTCCTATGCCTATAAGCCATGGAATCGTGCTTATCCCACACAGATGCCAACAAATGTACGTCAATCACATGAACCTAGTAAAAAGTGTGGAAAGTATAAAATTGTGATGGTTCGTCATGGCGAATCAGAATGGAATAAAAGCAATCAGTTCTGTGGTTGGTATGACAGTGCGCTTAGTGAAAAGGGATTAACCGAGGCAAAGGCAGCAGCGAGAGCTTTAAAGGAGGCAGGCTATAAATTTGATATTGCTCACACATCCCTGCTTTGTAGGGCTATAATCACACTAGACATAATATTAAAAGAAATTGGCCAAACGGATATTCCCATTTGTAAAACATGGCGTTTAAATGAACGACATTATGGTAACCTGATTGGATTAAATAAAGCCGAAACAGCTGCAAAATATGGAGAAAAGCAAGTACAAATATGGCGCAGAAGTTTTGCTACGCCACCTCCACCAATGGAAAAGGACCATCCGTATTACGATAATATTGTTAACGATGAACGTTATAAAGATGGTCCTAAAAAAGAGGAATTTCCCATGTTTGAATCACTGAAACTTACAATAGAGCGCACTCTACCCTATTGGAATGAAACAATAGTACCGCAAATAAAAGCAGGGAAATTGATAATTATTTCGGCACATGGAAATAGTCTGAGAGGCATTGTAAAGCATTTAGACAGTAAGTATTTGCTATATCGTAAATTGAACAATTAATAATAATACATGTAAATAGATCTATCTGAAGATCAGATAATGGCTCTAAATTTACCCACTGGTATACCGTTTATTTACGAATTGAATGAATGCCTGCAGCCAGTTGTGTCCATGAAATTTTTAGGCGACGAAGAAACAGTCCGAAAAGCAATGGAGGCTGTTGCTGCGCAAGGAAAGGCCAAATAGATTCAACGCATTGAAACTTACATTTGTACATATGAAAAAAAGTAAAACGGATTAACTGGAAAAAATGGCAAAATATACCTTAAGTCGCGGTGCAAACCTCATCTAATTTTCTAACTTAAAAAAATTGTAAAGCATGTCCAAATTTAAATAAAATAAAATATTATACATGAAAAGTGAAATTGAAACCTTATTCCATTCTAGATTCGTATTAACAATGATCTTTTCCATTATTAACACATGTTACTCGTAAATGTGTTTTATTAAATTTTCATTTAGTCAAATAGCAACCCTTCAAATTCCCACATGCTGAATAGCTGAATATCGGCTTTTTACTGTCAGTTTCTACGAATGACCTTGTGGCTGTCATTTATAGGTCAAATAAAATTTTCCTTTCGGTATTCTTATCCATTGGTGTTATCTAAAGCCGTACTCATCAAGCTCGTTAGACAGATTTGAACGTAGTATATTTTAAATAAAAATGTCTGGAAAATACAGAATTGTTATGGTTCGACATGGTGAATCTGAGTGGAACCAAAAGAATCAATTCTGCGGCTGGTTTGATTCAGCTTTAAGTGATAAGGGAAAAGCTGAAGCGCAAGCTGCCGGAAAAGCTGTAAAAGATGCTGGCTTGAAATTTGATGTTGCACACACATCGGTTTTAAATCGTGCAATTATCACTTTGGAAACTATTCTGAAAGAAAGCGGTCAAGCGGGCATTCCGGTTAACAAGTCATGGCGTTTAAATGAACGTCACTACGGTGGACTAACTGGCTTGAACAAGGCTGAAACTGCCGCAAAGTACGGTGAGGAGCAGGTCAAAATCTGGCGCCGCAGCTTTGATACTCCACCACCACCAATGGAACCCGATCACCCATACTATGATGTCATTGTTAAGGATCCTCGTTATGCTAATGGCCCATCTCAAGAAGAATTCCCCAAATTCGAGTCACTTAAATTAACTATTCAACGTACACTGCCTTACTGGAATGACGTTATCATCCCACAATTGAAGGAAGGCAAGCAAATTATAATCGCTGCTCATGGTAACAGTCTGCGCGGTATTGTTAAGCATTTGGATAGTAAGTTATTTAACATGAAAAGTTGAAGGGTTTAAACTTATTTAGACATTTTCTTGTAGATCTTTCTGAGGATGAGATTATGGCATTAAATTTGCCAACTGGCATTCCATTCGTTTACGAATTGGATGAAAACTTTAAACCCGTTGTTTCCATGAAATTCCTTGGTGACGAAGAAACCGTACGAAAAGCAATTGAGGCTGTTGCAGCTCAAGGCAAAGCCAAGTAAAGCATATTAAACCAATTAATATAAACATATGTAAGACATTAATCCGTTGGGATTACAAAAAATACGAGCATCCATTATTGCACAAGGCAATACAACGGCTATTAAAAATAGAAGTTCCGTAAGAATGCAAATATTGTTGTTGTGGAAAATTGATATTTAAATTTATGAAACTTTAATAAATTATTGTTAATCATTAGCTATTGTGTTTCATAATGATCAAAAATATTTTTACTATTAAAATTTAAACTAATAAATGTTCGGTTTAGATTTTTGTTTATTTAGTTACAATTCAACTGGTTGAACAACGTTATTTATAGTTAAGCGTTTAATCAAATTTGTGCTTTTGATTTATTTTTTCTTGTGTTTCTTATCATATTTAGCCAGTTCTAATCCTAATATACATTTTGGTGAGACTTTGTATGTTTCGGTCAACAAGTTGTAAACAAAGCGCACCTGATTACCTTGAATCTGCAGTTGTTCGCACTTTTGATGTGGGAATTTGACAACTGTAGTACTGGCCGCCGCGCCTTGCTTACACAGTTTAATAAACTCTGGCACGATAATGCCGTAGCACTCGACGTTGCTGATCAGCGTAACCTTCTTATTTTTAGAACGAGTTGCAAGTGACATTGTTATGAGGGGCTTTTTGGATGCTACATTCTTGAGCTCACACATTTGGTAGCCGTAATCCATTTTGCTAGTGATGGCACTGCAAATTTGAATGACCGTTGCAGATTTGCTGTTACATATTTTTTCAAGCGTTGCGTCTAACTGTATAGTATCGCCTGTTGCATCAGCTTTTGGCAGATTATGTTTGCTTATATATTCACGTATAACCTTTTTGATTTGTGCGGGTGGTATACCTTCCCCGCGCTTAAAATTCATTTTAGCAAAGAAAGGCGCTGTTTCATCCGAAACAGTACACGTTTCTGTCAATTCTGAATGAAATAGTGGCTGATCTTGTAGTTCACCATCTGCTGCTTGTTTCGGAGGTTTGAAATCGGTTATAAAATTAACCACTTCCGGATGTTCAAGGTCTATGGATGTAATTTTATCCACACCTTTAGATTCTTCGCGTACAACAATAAAACCTTGATCGATCATTTCGTTAAGAAAATTCGAAAGTTTTTTGTATTTGGTTTTCTTCAAGTCAATAGGTTGAGAAGCCTCCGGCACAACATATAAACGGTAGAAATTACTGGTCAAGAGTGGCAATTGAAGATTTTTGCCATTATTTTTCAGTGCGGCCAAGAAAGCATTTTTCAGCAAAATTTCTGGCGTTGTTTCTGCTTCAGAATCCACAACTCCATCGATTCCATTTTTTTCTGTGGATATATTCTGATTGGTCTCCGTGTCTATTACACTACTGGAAATTTCCAATTTTTCTACTTCGGGAAGTGTTGCATCTCGATTAGGTGTGTCAGGCATTTGAGCGGCCGCTACAATATCCGCCAACGACAACTTATCATTTCCTTCCTTTTTCTTTTTGTCCTGCTTAGCACCTAGTTCTGGAAAATCGTCTTTTGTTAGTGGCGCCGCCTTTTTTAATGGTACTTGTTGTATTAATGTGGGTTCATGTCCGAACAATTTATCACCAAATATATGCAGCATCTTCACTGCTACACCTTGACGACCGCACATATACAAATCATCTGAAGATCTTGGTAAATAACCTACTGCTACAGCAGACTCATTGGAAACCAAATTGACTGCCATTAATTGTCCCTGTCGATATCGCCCATACATATTCATACCAGTACCTTTGGGCACTACACCAGGCAACATTAGTTCTGCGCCATTTGAAAGTTTCGGCAGAACTTCACGGTGTGTTGTAAAGTAAGGAAGCAAGGACGGCACGAGCCATAAAGCGTACAAGGTCGGTGCCAATTCGCCTGACTCAAGTTCGAAGAACATGGGCAACTTATCCACACAGAAAACGTTCGTTTGCGTGCCGCCATGCGTTGTCAATTTCAGCTGCGTTACGGCGCTCTTTGCTGGTATCACTAAACTGAGTTGTTCGGTCGTTGAATCCGGAAATGCCTTTTCCACTCGTTGACGCAAACGTTTTGATTCAGAACCTTTTAATGGAGCATTACTCCGTAATTTATATGGTTTAAGAAACATCTTCTACACAGTCAACAAATACCTGATGAGTCGCGATAACAATAAATATTTATCGATATCGTAGAATAAAAACCAATATCGATATAGATCCGGTCCTAGTTTTTATTATTAAAAATAAATTTTGTTAAATACTTTTTGATTCCAAATAAAAATCAACATATACATTCATACTTCAACTTATGACTGTTTTTAACATTGTATAAATCTATTTAGGCTTATATTGTGAAATAACAAAAGTAGCTCACTGTACATAAGTACATTTGAGTTTGGTTATGTGACATCACGAAGACCCTATTTCATGAGCGATTTACAGCGTTGCAAAAAATTTTGAATCTTCTAAATATTTTTCAGTTTTGTTAAAATTTTGAAAGTATTAAAAGTCTAATATGTCAATGAATAGAGAAGTAGCAAATGTTAAATCAGAGAATGTTAATGAATAGAGAAGGAGCAAATGTTACCTGTGCTAAAATGTTAATTGCAATGAGGGAATATCGAAAACGCGCAAGGTCGAAAATAAAATTTCATCACCCTATCAATTTACGCAACCAATTACACCACTCTATAAGCAAAATGTAAATACATACATATGCACATATGCACATATGTCCTTTTGTATGCGCATGAACAAAAATTGTAATAATAAAAACGAAAGTAATTGACTTCTGACAAGAAAATATAAACAATGAGGGGAATAATATTTCTCTGGTGTAACTGTTTTCACTAACTAATGTGTCTTTTTTAACGGAGTATTCAGATACTGTTTTCGCTCACGTAGTAACGACTGTACTCTTATCGTATAGATCATTCATATTTGGAGATTTTACAGATTTCTGTACCCTGAACAGAATTTATCGAGTTTGCCACGAAGTTTGTAACACTCAGCTAGCTGCCATACAAACTGAACTTAATCAAGCGTTTGTATGGAAAACTTTTTTATTAAACAATACAATATATTTTCATAGAATTGGAACATGGATTACGGTAACAGTAACGGAAACATTTTTAAGATCGGATCACTTTAGCATGTAGCTGACTGACCAATAAAAATTAAATTTTTGTATGGAAAGTTAAAGTTTTTTCTTGTTTTACAGATCTTCGTCCTTTAGATAGTCCTTTGGTCCATTGAAAGCAAAATGCAAACAAAGTAAATGTTTCTCATTTATATTAAGTACACACTTTACACATTCACATTAAACATAAGTTAAATAAAAATACAGCTAAAATATAATATTCATAATTTGTTGCTTAAAACATTTTTAAAGACTAACCATATAATATATATGCAACTGTGTGTATGTATGTACGCATGTTAGCAGACTGACTTGTGTAATTATGACAAAATTTCATATTTGTTTTGTAAATATTTTAGCGTAACACACACATTTGTGTGTGTATGTGGGTATATATATGCACAATTTACTTATAAATATGTGTGTAAGAAAATTGTTTCTGTTTAATTGGCGGGCACACACGCTGCAAAATTTTACAAACATACATACCATAGAATACTTGAAAATGTACGACATCATCAGCCTGCAACAACAAAGTGCACACGAAATGACATTTTGCATGTATTTTACAACAATAAAATAATACACAAAATCTCGATAAAAAAAAACACCGCTGGAGACTTAATGAATCGCTGCTGTAGCACCGTTTTGTTGTTGTCTTGTGGTTGCCTCGCGTTGCAGCCACTGTATGATGTCATGGTAGTTCCGTGCCATCCAGTCCACATTTACACGCACCTGTTCGAGAATTTGTTGTATGGAACGGCCGTTATCCTTGACATCGGTTTTGATGAACGATTCCAACTCGGCGAGGAAAAATTTCGAATTCATGCGTTTTGTGGCGTATTTCAGTATCGCATTTATATTGGACATTGTTGAACCCAAGCTGCATAATAGAAACCGTTATGAAAATTACAAAAAAAAGAAATTTAATTTAAAAATTAAATATTACTAAGTTTTGATTTCATTCCAATTGTTGCGCATGAAGTCGAAGGCGATCTGCTGGCCCACCACATTGCTCGACACCGCCGCGAACACCCTGTAAACGTCCTGTTTGCGTATGTCCTCGCCACTAATTGAGCGCCGCAGGTAGCGCGACAAGATCCATGGCTCGAGCGAGCAGCCCAATGCGCTGAGCAGCAATTCCTTTTCCGTTGAAACCGACGTGCTGCGATAGCGCTGGAATGCAAAGTCCCACTCAAATTCGTTGCCATATTGTATTGCCGTGCAATAAACGATGCCGCGTAGGTTTGGCGGTATACTAACGAGTTTCCACAAAAAACAATTGTGAATTAATAAAAACTATTGCTTCAAACACATCGCTCGCTACTTACGGATTATTGGTATCCGGGTTGGGTACCTCTATCCAATTTTGGAAGTGGCGCGCGCTTTCTAAAATGCAGTCACGATGTCCCAAATGGCAGGCCATATTTAAAATTTCCACACGTTTGAATAGTTTGAGCATATCTTCGCCCTTATCGGCATCATCGGTGAAATTATTCGGTGAAACGTCTTTGTAGACATTTTCCAGCAGATCCAAAAGATAGTTCTGAAATAAAAATGTATGCAATTTTAATACAAATTGAGGAAGTTAGGTTATGTGTGCGATTCCGTAACTATTGTAAATATAGCGATAAAGAGACAACACGAAATCTTTTAATTTTTGAATCTAATAATATTAACACATCTAGATATGTTTTAAGTTTTCTGCACAATATAATAATATTAGAAAAATATCCAGTAGAAAATTATTATTTTAAAATTTTAATGGGTCTAGCCCTGATCCCAGTCTTGATCCGATCTAAACGCAAGTTCTCTCCAGTCACATAGAGCTAACTAGTTGAGAACGGATAATTCGCAAGTCTAGTCCGGGTTACGAGAATGGATCTGGATCTATATTCTAATATCTTAGCCAGAATGGATCTAGTACTATATTCGGTAACAAACTTTTATCTTGACAACAATTTTCTTAACTATTCCGAGAATTTTCTACGCCGTTAAACTAATATAAATGCGACTTGGTTTTATTAAGCTTAGTAGAATGACTTTTTGAAAATTAGATCTTGGTGTCAACAAGTAAGTATTAAGTGATTTCGAACCGCAACGAAAGCAGTCGACATTGAATGTCAGGCCTTTGAGTGTATTTCTCGAAGGTTATTTATAGCGGAAGAGGTCCTCCATTGTCTGTATAACTTTCGAATACAATCTGCAAATAGTAGAAGACTCTAATCATCTATCAGATCAACTTACCTTCAATATATCGTAGTCTCCCTGATTCACCAACATCGAGTCGATAAAGTTAAATGCCGTCATGGCCGCCTTCCAGGGCACATGATCCATTTCATGTTTGAGATAACGCGTTAGATTCAATGCCGTTTCGTAACTCAGATATGCGCCGCGCGCCAAATTCATAGTGTCATCTATTAATTGTGCGCGATTAGCAGGACTAATACTTCTATATTTTTGCGGCTGCATAAGATGTGTTGTAATTGCTTTCCAATTATCGGCATCATAGTTGACGCGATAGTAACCGGTTTGTTGGATATTGAAAATGAACCATTCGGCTGTCGAAAGATTACGATCATCAATTTCGTAGGTTTCACTGCGCGGCACCCACGTAATCGGACGTGTGTTTTCGAAATTCAATTCCCTTGATGTGGTGTATGTGATAGGTATCCACCAAAGTGGATTATCATCATTGTTGGAATCGCCATCATCCGACTGATTTGAAAATACGAAACGTTGTTGTTCCATATGTATGGCGTGTGCATTTGAAGAGCGTGTAACGGTGAGTACAGGATAACCCACTTGTAAAGTCCACGTATCCATGATTTCTTTAACGGTGGTATTGCGATCAAGTAAACCTGCGGAAATTGCTTCATTTGTTAGGAAGCGCCATAAGTCGTCCTGCTCGGCGGCATTATAGGACCTGTGAGAGATGAGAGTTGTTAAATTTATAATTTGTATATATATATTACCAGCAACCTACATTTCCTTTAGGTACTTGCTCAGACCCCGTCGAAAGACTTTAGAAGTTAGAAAGTGGCTCATCATGCGTATAATGGTCGAACCTTTGCCATAAGAGATACGATCGAAAATTTCTGAAATTTCATCCGGATTAAAGACCTCCACCGAAATTTTGTGCGATGATGACAGCGCATCCAAATGGAAAACATTTTGCAGTTCGCTAACCACAAATTGATCCTGAACTTTCCAATCCGGATGAATGGCATCAACTGTTATGTACTCCATATAACTAGCGAATCCCTCATTTAGCCAAATATCCGACCACCAGCTGGGTGTTACCAGATTGCCAAACCATTGATGAGCCAATTCGTGTCCAACAACACTGGCAATGCGTTGTTTGTTAGTTGTAGCGGAGACGCCTTCTTCGAAAAGCATTGTAGTCTCCCTTTAATAGTGTAACAGTGAGTGACTTAAACTTAAATATTATTATATTCCATAATATACCTGTAGGTGATCAAACCCCAATTCTCCATCCCACCAGCTTGGAAATCGGGTAGCGCTATCATATCGAGCTTTGGCAGTGGGAATGGCAAATCGAAATATTCTTCCAGGAATTTTAAAATTTTCGGACCAACGCTTAGCGCATAACTCGCCGATTGAATTGCGTCTTTTCGCGCCCACGCGGAAAAGTTGCCGTCGGAAATGTGATCGAAATCCGAAATGGCGTAGGCTACTAAATATGTAGACATAGGTAGACTTTCAGCGAATTGATCCCATACATAGTTCGAGAGAGACTCGCTAAAAGTTTAATGGAAACTTTCTTTTTTAATATTCAGTTACTTCAAGGTATACGAAACTCACTGTGGTTTTGTCCAAACGATAGGCATATTAGACACCGTGGTCATGTTACGTGGTCGAGCTATTTTCAGTGAGAAGTTTGCTTTCAACGACGGCTCATCGAAGCAGGGAAACGCTCGCCTGGCATCAGTGGCTTGAAACTGCGTAGATACCAGCCAACTGTAAAAAATGAAAGTTGGATTTTTTGTTGAAATATGATTTTACATATTTATAGCCAAATTGGGCGTGAAACGCAAAGAGACAGAGAGAGTAAGTGAGGGTTAAATATAGGGTTTGAAGAATATACTTTCTAGTGTCGTATGACCGCCAATTAACAATTTTAGAATAGAATCTGAAAGCACTGTTTGACTCTTTTGAATTTGGATCTCCGTTAGGGTGGGAGATGGAATGTAACCTTAAGTTTTCAGCTTTTTTTATAACAATGGAAATGTCTGGAAAAGCTGAAATAATGTGATCCTATCGGCAATATCAGCCTATACCATTGAATATTAGGATCATATTTCCCAGATTGAATAAAAGGTCGTGACAATTGACATATTGCATTCGATGTCGTGTTTGTTGTTGTAGCGGCATCAAAAATATTCGAGACATTTTTGTGAAATACCGCCGAGTTTAAGGAATATAAATCCAGCATTCGGTAAGGGCAGATTCGATTCTGGGAACGGTTAGCTTCCATATTTTTGTGGGCAGTCACAACTTCCAAGTTCTACCTATAGTATATTCTTAATAAAAAGAAGTGAAGAAACTTTCAAAAATTAGGTATTATAGTAATATGAAGAAGAAACTGTGTGTTTTCGCAACTCCTGATTGACAATTCCGCACATCTGATAACATTACGAATTTATCGACCATTTCAATATAACCTAAAATATCTACTTGTAAATCTTGACTAATAACGCGCTCTTATTTTTTGCCGACAAAACCCTTTTTAAACTTTTTTTAATACGCCATATGCCCCAAATTCGGAAAATTTCGTTTGATTTCGGTCATCTTAACCTACAAAAGCGTATGTATGCCTAACTTTTAACTGCGCTTCACCTGTCACTCAGCTGAGTCACACTAATTGACATACGCACTTGTACCATGCGCATAATTAGCAAAAACAGTAGACTTACCGCTTTTCGTTGCCCACTTGATACGAACTGCGATAGAAGCCCTGCAGATAATCCTGTATTAGACCACTGAACCGGATGCTTATCTCGTACACGCCACCCTTTATTAGTTTGTCATACAGTTCGATGATGAAGAACTGCTTGCTCTCGAGCATGTATTGTTTTCGTATCCTCAGTTCTACGCCATCAATTTCCGGTACATACCGAGCATGCTCTGCCAAAGCCGGCTGCAATGCCGACGTTGCCGTTGACCTGCCAATATGTCGCACGGATACATCGTTTTTGGTGATATTCAAATCGATGGCATGCATGGTAATGTTATGACAGTCCTCCAGTACAATCACTTGAATGTGTACCTCCCCTTCGAATGTGAAATTATTATTGAGTAGGTATGGCACAAGGGATATATTATATTTCTGCGGCTTCAGCGAACGCGGCAGGCGTACGTCACGTTCGTAGTGTGTTTGCTCTTTAGCTTCATCAGTTGTGCTGCTGGACTTCAGTATATGCTTCTTTACCGTCGTACAAATGACTTCCTCATCCGGCAATGGTGTAAGCTGTTGTTCACACGTTGCCACATTGAATATGATGAAACTGACCGCAAGTAGCGTGCATACAAAACAGGCGGCGATCAGAAAGAGTGTTGTACCCGAAAAGGTGTAACCACGACGCGTCGTGAATGTTGTTGTCGGCGTGGTATTGGTAAGTGTTGTTGTCGTACGATGATTATCCATATTGATATTTTCACGGACGTGTATGTCCTTAAGTACCATGCTTTGTACTACTTTTCGAGGAGATTTATTGTTTAGATTGATCTTTTCTCAAACAATTTATTTATGTATTATATGTATATAAAATTGTAAAAAGTTGCGAATGTTCGGTACTTAGTTTGTTGCTCATCTATTCGCCATAATTAGCTAAATATTATCATAAAGTGCTGGCCATGAGGATAAATCGTCAACCTGCAAAGTTGTAAAAATTATAATGAATGAAAAGAAGCTTTGAAAGCTGTGTAAATTTAGGTTTCTTAAAATTTGTTATGAAATTGCCATAGTTTGAAAAGGGATGAGGACATTTTATATAATTTAAATCTAGTATAATTATTATTAATAATAATATGAAACTCAATTTCGTTGAATAACTTTATTATAATACTTTATTCGGCATTTTCCTTAAAATTTACCGTAATTATTGATCACTGTGTTTTTGTTAGAGAAACGTGAGCTCACTAACATTTTTTAATCGTACTTTTGAGACACTCATCTGCGACTAATTGAAAGAAGACAGAAGCAAACGTCGGAAACCCTATCAAATATAACATATATATCCATTTGTCTTTCATTCAATTCAATTTTCTGAAAATGAAATACTAATTTTGAATGGCAAAGTAAATAAAAATTATTCTAAGTATTGCCTTTCTGGCAATTTGTGGATACCATGCCAATAGAAATTTTCGTCTTGAAGCAACCTAATTTTCGACTTTTTCGTAGGAATCGAAGTGCTGCTCAGCCGATGCGTGCCTCATCGATGAAAAAAAGTGGTAATCGGAAGGTGCCAAGTCTGGTGAATACAGCGGTTGGGGTAGCAGCTCCCAGCCAAGTTCAATATCCTGAACCGGTTTTGCTTTGTGTGCAGGTGCATTGTCAGGTAACAAAATTACTTTGTCGTGTCTTCTGGCCCATTCTGGTCGCTTTTCGACAATGCATGGTTCAAATTGTTCATTTGATGTCTGTAGCGAATAGTATTAACAGCTTCACCAGGTTTTAGAAGCTCATGATATACCACACCCTTCTGTGCGATCTGATTTTGCCGTCGGTGTTGATGGTTGTCCCGGATTAATCGACGATTTGAAATTAAATCCACTTTTTATCGCCAATGACAATTCAATGCAAAACTGATTTTCTTTCGTGTCTTTGAAGCAAAATTTATGTGTTTTTTCGGTTTTTAATTTGTCTTGGCACCCACTTTCCACACTTTTGAATTTTTTCCATAGTTTTCAAACGGTCTGAAATTGTTTGTTTTCTAATATTTAACATGGCTGCCATTTTCTTTTGACTCAAAGTATCATCTTCATTCAATATTTCTTGCGGTTCGGCGTCTTCAAACTCTTTTGGTGGTTTTCCACCTTCTACATTTCTCACATCAAAATCGTTATCTTTGAACCGTTGAAACCATCTTTTGCATGCTGCTTCTGCCTCGACAAGCATTCAGTTGGAAACAAAAAATTAATGCTCTCCGCAAATAGTCACTTTTCGGCACAAAATTTGACATTTTCAACACAATGAAAAAATATGATGTTGTTTGTTCAATGACTGTAAGGTTATTGAATATGTTTGACAGATGTCATGCCAACCAAACAGAGACAAAATTAGGCCTCGTTCACAACAAATGTTCCCAACCAATACATTTGTATCTTAACGCTCACTTCATACCAGTACAACTGGTAAATGATTATCATGACGAGCTCAGTCGATTTAGCGATATTCATGTGTCCGTCTCACTGTCCGCCCGATCAAAAGCAAATCCTTGCCTGGAAAACGTTTTTAATTGGCAAGATATCTTCATGAAATTCGACACAGATTATTGTCTTAGTCAACGGTATAATCTTCGAACAAGTTATTCATATCGAACCACTATAGCATGTAGCTGCGATATAACTTACCGATCAAAATCAATATAAAAATCTTTTTATAACCTATTATGCTATAAGAAATGCACCAGTGAAGATTATTACGTATGTACCATATATAGCATCGGTGCAGCCGAAGTTAATGTTTTTTCTTGTTCGCACTAAAATATTGAAAATAATTGAAAAATTTTGCTTCACTGGAACTTAGAATGAACCCACAATTTCTTTAATAAACAATGCCAACTTTTCGCAGTTGTTGTTTGTTTATATTACAGGGGTCAACACGAAATTTGACCTCGACTTGAAAGTGTACAATTTCTTTAGTTTAGGTCACAAATACATTAAAAAGAAATATATGACCTTCAAAAGTTTTCTTTTGTGGTCAGGAAACTAATTAAACGAATTTTCTCAAAATGTGTGGTTTTAATGTTTAATTTAAGGTAGAACTACATGGATAAATGTATTTATCATTTTTATTAATTTAAAATTTTTCTGATTTGTGGACGAACAAAAATCCCAGCTTTTACCTTTGCTTCTAAATATTTTCGGAAAAAAATTTCTTAAGTATTCAAAAGCTTCTGAAGTTTGGTCGAGTTTTTTCACGAATTGTTTCATCAATCCCAACTTAATATGGAAAGGTGGCATTAACACTTTTTCTGCTTCCACAATAGAACAGAATTTTACGTTTTGTTTCCCGGTACAAAATTCGGTTCTTTCAGGCCAAGACCGTTGAATGTAGTGCTTAGCATCCGCTCTGCTGTCCCATAAGCACAGATAGCACGGAAACTTGGTATAGCCGCTCTGTAATCCCATTAAAAATCCGACCATTTTAAAATCACCAATCAACTGCCAATTTTACTCGTCATACTTTACTGTGTCAAGCAAGATTTTAACACTATTATAATTTTCTTTCATACGTACCGAGTGAGCAATTAGTGGGGATGGAAATTTATTTCCGATGTGTAATAAAACGGCTTTCAAGCTTTTGGTAGAGCTGTCGATGAATAAACGCCATTCGCTAGGAATGCAAGATATGCCAATTTCTTCAAACATACCTTTGATGTCATTGCAAAAACAACATTTTCTTTTGTGAAAAACGTTGAAAATGTCTCATGCCTAGTTCGCTGATCTGTTATATTAACATCATCAAGCAAATTACACTATTTTAACAGAGAGCCTAAAAGCTCTGTTTTATTTTTTGGTAAATTTAAATCTCTTATTGGGTCATCATAATCTTCTGTAGTAATAAGATGGTAATTTGGTTGTTCTGGGGTAGGTAAAAACTCTTTATCGGAATTACTTTTATATGAACTCAGAGATGAGTTACTTTTTTGAGATAGATTCTTTGGTGGCTCAGGCACTGGTCGAGTCAGGATATTCGACAGGTTTTGCATTTTTACCTCTACGTCGTTTACTCGAGTTAACAATACAAAAGTAGCAATCATGGACATGGTCTTTGGTTCACGCCAAATTCTTGGTGTCGCAAACTTCATAGACCTTTTTTCACCTCGATACCAGCCTAAAATATATAATTTAAATCAATTTCTATTACAGTAAATTCGCCGCTCAATTAAAAATCGCTCACCATCCAAACATCTTTTACAATAACCACAAGCAACATGTGGAGTCCATGATGTATCTTGATTTCGAACAGTACAGTCAAAATATGACATGATTTTAACTCATATTTAGTGTCTCTAACTTTCATAAATTCACCACATATATAACAAAATATATCAGCAACGTATTTACACTGATGACATTTTAACGTTTCCTGGATATGTACGAAACACCTGATCCTTATTTATCACTCGAGTGCCATCTGGAGGCACTCTCTGAATATAAAAACTCCACTCCAATCTCGCGGTATTTTTGAATGCATTAAAACTAATTGAAATTTTTAAAAAATTGAATAAATTATTATTATTACTATAACTATCGCAAAAGCAAACTTTATACCAAAAAAAAAGTATTTTCTTTTCGTTTTTGTGTCTAAATAATCGAAAAATCATAGTATAAAGTTTAAGACAAACAACAATTTTTTTTTGTTGACCCGTGTTATATCTGAGTTTACATTGACATAATGACATCTGACACCAAAGGCGGAGTTCATGAGGTCTTCGAGAGATAGTGAAGCCCCGACTTGGGAATTTACGTTATACATTTTGTGCAAAGTATACTTCACTTTTTTTCTCTCTCTGGTTTTCACTAGATCTCATCAACTTAATAAACTGTTATCATTGTCGATATGATTTTTGAAAGTTAATTGAGGTTTAACGAGAAAAATGCTATATAAAGGAAGAGGGACAGTACAAAAGATCTAACGGTGATTTCAAAAAATAGCACCAACGTATGTGTTTCAAATTTCGAACAAATTACTCGTATTTCACAATTTTATAGCTCGAATAATTAAAAATGCTGAAGATATATAATCACCACGCCAGGTTATGGCGCTGTGATAAAATCACTATAAATAATAATTGTTTAATTACAATTTGCTTCATTTCTGTTGTAAAATATTAACAAAATAGTAAAATTAGAAATATGGGATTTTATTTTAATTACATCTGAGTATGTACATACTTGTATACAAGTAATTACACTCATTAATGTGCAGTAAATTATTTGCAATGAAATTTAAAAAAATAAAATAAGCATTGTACTTAAAAAAAAGTTAGGCACAAACACTATTTATTTCTATTTAATACAGTGCATAATGTCTTTGTCACATGGCATGCAGTCAACAAATTTACATTAACGTGTGTGTAAAGGTATTCGAAATTTCAAATATAATATATTTACATACCTAGGTTAAGCGCTTTCAAACCCCTACTGGTGTAATTTGCGTTCAAACTCTAACTCTGAATGCTGTATTTTAAAATGTGTTTGATCATTTGAGCGACCTTGATCGTGACTCATGTGCGTACCCTCTCATTTTCGCGTAAATATGTGAAATATTAGGCGGCTACGCCCGTTGAATAGCATATTGAAAGTCAAAACAAGTAGTTTGACAGCTGTCAAATATTCAAATTTATTCACTGCCATTAAGAAAGTTTTACTTACAAGTAAATATGCGTATAAGTATATATGTATATATAATTTTCGGAAATATACACAATAATAATAATAGTTTTGGCCTCGGTTTTGACTAAGTCTACCGTTAATTGGAAAATGTTGTACCCTTCAGATATAAAACCACTTAATACGTATGCTATCAATTCGTTAAATGGTTGAGTTTCTTCAATGTTGTAAATTCATCTTCTTTCATGGATATCTTAAGTTTTTGAAGCACATAAAAGGTGAGATCCCGATGAATCGGCTGATAAAGGATTTTTGGCTAAGAAAAAAATGCATAAATAACGGTGAGTGAGACGGCTCTTCCGATCGTAACTGAGCGCTTTGCGAACAACCTTTTCTAAACGTATCTGCTAAATTTGCTTGACAAGTACAAACTTCACTTCTTCAACGACTTCCCAGTTGAGAAGCGTTGGTTTGACCCCGTTATATCTAATTTGACCGTTGCATATTCACGATCTTCTTGGAAAAGCTTATGGCATTTATTAACAGTTTTTTTAGTTAAGATCGAGTCACTTAATTTCATCTGCACTTTATTGATCCATTTTTTTCACCTCCAATCCTTTTTATCACGTACAACAGCACGAAAAATACCATGCAAGCTATGAATTTATGACCATATCTTAAAATTTGGTGGTTTTTATCCGAGAAATTTTAAAAATAACGTGGTTTGTTAAACAGATCTCAAGAAATTAACAAAAATCAAAAAAATAGTTATATAACCTTAAAATCAAATTTTAAAGCTCTATGAACCTCCGTTCTATATACCATATATGTTAAAATCTGTAAAGAGAGAGAGAAAATGTTGCGCACTCCCTTAGCACTACGTCTGATTCATTTATCAGATAAGTTAGAGCAGCAACAATCGTAAACATAGAGAATACGACAATCTCGTTTCGTTACTTTTACGAACTGCGTATGACAGAAGAATGCATTAGTTCGTGACGTCATGAACGAAAGGAAGGTATGGAAATTTAAAAGTTCAATACGTTTATGACATAGCGTGCCGCAATGTTATCTCTATTTTTCTAGGTAGCCCATAAATTCAGTAAGCTCTGAATAATTTTATTTATTTATTGTATATAAATTTGTTTTGGGTTTGAAAGTTTCTATAAGGGGTTGCAAGTTCTAGAACGATTTCTTCAAACTTGCAAAGTCAAACTCCACCACGACCTTTTTTTTGACATCACTCTCTCTCTCTCTCTTTTGATAAATTTTGAGCCATTTGTTCAACAATCCATCAAGCTTACATTTACAGAAGGATTTCCAAACTTTACTGAATACGTAACACTATACAACACACGATCAGGTGTTAGTCCGAACCAATTTTTTGAGTGAGTCATAAGAAAAAATAATAATTTTTCCAGTCTTTGAAGTTAGCTTCCCAGATCAAAATATTTGCCCTTGAATTTCGAAATAGAATTTATTGAAAAAATCATTATTGATCATTATGTTATTTTTAAAAAAATTTAAAAATATGGATATCATCTACGTTTTCTCTATATTTCAATGGTATATACATATTTTCGGTTAAGCTTATATGACAGATGTTATAAAATTTCAAAGACGCCTAGAGCTCCTACTTTCTTATCACTGCACTTGACTTTGTGTTATGCCATAAACAAAAATATTTACATATGTAAATTGTAAATACTGCAAGTAAATTATTCGCACGCACGTACTTTAACATATTAAATGTTTGTATGTGAACATAGGTATAAACTAATACTTGTTAATGCAGTTTAATCAGCATTTCATTATATAAATACCGATATATACATATATGAGTACATATGTTTATTTTTATTGCTACCGAAAATTATGAATGAACGACCGATCTGCGTTGTCACATGTAGAATGAATTGTATAAACATATGTACAATATATACATACATAGTATGTATGTATACTCGGATGTCTATTTTAGTATTTTATGGCTTTATTAATGAACATCAATGGCATGACTCTGACCCAACGCTTAATTGGACATATCCCATTGAATGTCAACTTAGACGTCATAATTAAACAAATAAGTACATATATGCATACACATATAGATACATATATACTTGCACAAGTACATATGTACTTATATATGTGTAACATGTTCCTTATACTAGGTTAATTGATCCAATTAACGGGCCTGACTCTTAGTTCAAACATTAAATTACTTGTCTAGTTATCACTCTGTCACACTTAGCATTTTAAATGATATTCTAATTTGTTTTCAGTAAATAAGGAATATTCATGAGAAAGTATAATTAGCTACAGTTAATATTTGTTATTTAATTTAACTATATAAATAGGTGTAATCGATAAAATATTTGTTCGACGATGTGAAATTGACGCACGACAGCTCACACTTAAAGTCACTAATTTCACTTAACATTCGATCGTGCGTGCACTCTCTCACGCTAACAGTTAGCGAGTAATCGCTGAGCAGGTGTTTGCGGTTGAAACCTAGGTGGGCATTTCGCGAACATCTTCGCAAGTGATTTACATACTCGTATATACTCATCGAGTTTAGGTGAAAGGAGGTTTTTCTATCAATTAATCAATCAAAATGGGAAAATAATTACTTAGTGTTTATAGAAAATGGCCAAGACAACTTTTTAGATATAGAAAAAATTTGAATTTATTTTACTTACTGTTTTATTTGTATGTAGGGTAGTGTTTACTTTTAAATTATGCCTTGATTTAAGCGACGATTACTGTCAAGAGTGAGTGTAACATAAAATCAAAAATACTCGCTGAATCATCATACTGGCATCGTATAGTGCTGTTATATTAAAAATAATTACGCTCATGCAACCCTAAAGCATACATATTTGTTCTTTTAATTAAGTGCAGAAAAATATTTTTATTGGCACACCGCTTCAACCGCAGTTCGTGACAAAACGAAAGGATGTGAAGTTCAATTTTAAATTACTTTGCTTACAAACCTAAATAGGCGTATTGAATTTCATCATGCTCTTCCTGCAGGAACTTTCCTTGAACTTGCGCGACAAGTAAATATATGTAGATCACATGAGTGTTCTTCTTCACATATGAGGTTGCTTATGGATAAATCTAAATGTTTTGAAGGACTAAGGGTATTTGTAAGTGAATATCGATTTCATTTGTGGCAAACTGGATTTTTTTGCACTGTTGATATTGTATTAGTGGAAACGGATACGTTTACTATCGAGTATATATGTAAATAAAATAATATTTTTTATATTTTTAATGGGCATTGATTGGTTTTTATACCGTATACAATATTTTATAATTATATGTATGTAATTAGTAACTTTAAATTCATACTTTCACCCTCAGTTTGAATTTAAATTTTGAAATGATCCAAAAAAATTACAAAATAGTTTGAATATTTAGTCAACAGTGTCAACAAATCCTTTCTGTCAACATACATAGTGTACACATATGTACAGACATACATTTGTTTGTGTAAATCGTTCACATAACCCTTTTGACAATTCACCAGACTGCCCGCAGCAATGAATCGAATGTCACCAATGTTAAATGTAAACTATACTCAAACACACACACATCTATGTGCACATATAAACACTGATTACATTGATAAACATATCCTTGTGATTTTCAGTGCAAGCGGAAGTATTCGGTAACATATGAGCTTACGGCGAAATTGGTTGTAGTTGAGAAGTAAAAGCGTTTTATGCGACAGAAGTATAATCATACATCGTTACATATCTATATATTACATACGAATATATCATATGTACATATGTATGTATGTACAAGCAAACTGAATTTATTCATTGTCCAAATATATTTTGGTGTAAAAAACAAGCAAATTTAAGTTTCTGATGAAAAATTAAAAGTACAATAAAACCAGTAAGGAATGATTAAATTCAGGTGTAACCGAACATTTCATATTCTCGCAATTTGCAAAGATCAAAGCCGGGGAAAATTCATTTCGAATTTCAATAGAATATACATATATCTGACAGGTTGATTGATATTTTATTGGTCCGACTTGGACAATTTTTGGTCTTAAGGTGGTACACTTCAAAGATACTATTCGTAAAAAGTTTTAACCGGATACGTTGATTGATTTGTTGTAGGTGTGGTTTTGGACTGATTTCGACCATTTCCGCAGAGCAATGTAGGAATGTCAGGATAGTATTATCTACCGAATTTGTTTGAAATCGGTTGATTAGGTCCAGATATATAGGGGTGGTGCTAAGCCCATTGTCTAAATTTGACACCGGATCATCCGATAAAGCCCTTTCGTACCATCTCAAGTGTAAAATTGTATGTCTCTGGCACATTTAGTTATAGACTTATCGCACTTTTAGTAGTTTTTAATTAAATCGTTATATGGGGAGTGGGCGGGGTTATTTCATTTCACTCCATTAGCATAATTTTATTGCCATTCAAAAAAGTCCGAGTGTTCAAGGTCGGGTTTGTTAAAATTTTTATGTAAATGCTTGCAAAGTAGTGTGTGTTACAAATTTAATCTATTTTACCAATTATATACGGGTCAGCATTTATTCAGAGACTAGGTACTGAAATGAAAAGAAAAACTAATTTATAAGTTGCCAAGCTATATTTTAAAGTGTATACACCTGAAAGTAATTAAAATCACGACAATAAAATAATTTTGATAAATGCTGTCGAGTTGACACATCCTAGCCGAATATAATTTCGGATCCGCTCCGATTATCTAGACACGACTGGGATGGAAACTGGTCGCAATTTCCGAATAACATTTTCTACTATAAATTGTAGAGTACTCGAACCATTCTGCTTCACATTCCTTAGAGGCTTATAATACACTAGACTATTTGATGTTCTATTCTGCTCGAGTATAATCCTCCTTACTTCTTACTAATTATATATCAAGTGGAGAGCTTTTGAATTAAGATATTTGCAGCCATAAGTTTCCTGTCTATCATGATAAATACGAAAAGTCCTCGGCAGCTACTGGTGTTCTGGTTTCACTCATTGCTCGTATATACAAACAATTTTAATCTAATAATTAACCCTGAATTGAAGCATCGTACGTCAAAGAACTGTCAAAAATTCTCATGGTCATACAATGAGACTTATGCATTCTACACTCACAGAGCTTTTTTTTCAAACTTGACAGCGCTTTGTGTTTTGTAGTGAATTACAAAAGGCAGAAGTAGAAGTATAGAAAAAAGTATACAAAATATAGAATATTTTATACAGATATTTTTTTGGAATATTTGTATGTACATATATATTTCTAGGAAATCCTCCCGCCCTCATCACAATTTCTTTATGAAAGAACCATATAAAGTAACTTGCCTTTCAAGATAATGACATATCGCGAATATAGGTGGCGTTGGAAAATGCACCAGTTAAGGCTACCCAAAAAGAGATCAGTAAGCTCCAATCAGGCTTGTTAAACTGTCGATAGTCACTTCATTCGAATTATAGCTTAGATGCAAAGAAATGTCTATTGGTTCTACTAACTACATGTGTACACAATAAACTCTGTAGCGTAACTTATCTGTATTATATAAAAAAGCTAATAATTCGTCCACCAAAATTTCTTCATGTCTTCTACAATAAGATCAAAATTGATATGTCCACTTTCGTCTCATACAAAAAATAGCTTAAGCTTAAGGATACAAATAATAACAATATATGAAACTCTTAGAAACTTGCGCGGAAAACTCTGACAGCTGTCTTAGATAATTAACTAGTGATTTAACCGATGGTTGGCTGGCAGGGATAAAGGTATGTAGTATGTATGGAATAATGGCTTTAATATAATTATATCAATAGAATAGTAATTCAGGAACCGTAGTGATAGGAAGTAATGTAAGTTCTCCGTGGACTGAATATTACAACGCACGAATGTCAATTTGTCTGACAAATCATTTATGTTTATTGTTTTTTTTACCGTAAAATCACTATTTAAGAAACTTTTTGTTCCAACGCTTTAAAGTTTAAGTGTTTATCATCAAGGCCTTTGCTATGTGTCTGGTAGAGAAACATAATGCAGCTCCAATGACTCAGCGGATGTAATTCCCATATTTTTGGGAAAAATATTTATATTCGTTAAAAATAGGTCACTGACTGGTACCTGGAATTCGTTTATTAAATTCGTGTGTAATCATATTATTAGAATAAAACACGAAAAATTGTTAACTTTGACTATAGTACCCTTCACAGGTGTAGATATTATATTATAAAAGGGTATTGATTTTGACTGCTCATTTTGTATGATAACTGTAAATATAGTGATCCGATTTGAACAACTTGTTCGGATAGCGTGGCGTTGAGATCAATATCCCAAAAACTGAAGGACTAGTTCGAATATATAGAGTCAGACGAACATGACTAAATCGACTCTGTATATACATTAGAGGGTCTCCGACGTATCTTTCTGGGTCTTACAAACTTCGTGGCAAACAACAGTTATATATACAGAAAACTCCGATTTAACGTTATTGTTTTTAGGCTGCGTATACGCCATGGGTATTGAACTAAGCAGGTTAAGTGACCTCTAAAAGAATTAGAATCACCCCTTCTTACCTAGTTACTACATTCGTGACATTCCTAGATAAAGTAATATTTCGGAACCTTATTAATACAATTAAACCATATTTGTACAAGTCTCAAGATATTATATTTAATTGTAATGCATCTCGCACTGCAGAAACCTAACCTCCTAACAGCAAATGGGACATGAATGTGTGTAAGCAATTTAAAAAACGATCGAAAACAACAGCGAATTGCTCCATTTTCATTCATTGATGCCTCATTGAGAACTTTGATACATAATGCAAAATACATGAATGCCAATGTAAGTACTTGTGCGTGTATGTGTGTTTGCTCGATTAACGCTGCTTGCATAGTAAAGAGTGCATACAAACATATTGACAATTGTTATTGTTTTGATAGCGATTGCTGCAGCGGACACTAGACAACTTTTAGCCGTAGGTCAGCACCTCCGGCACGAAATCTGCGCACATACACACCCACACATACATACTAGCGACATTTGGATGCTGAACTTGCACGACACTGTTTGCAACAGACACTTTCCCCCCTCCCATTCATATTACACACATGCATACATACACGCATGGACACAATATCAACGTTCAAAATCACAAAATGTCAGTATATATATGTATATGTATGTGTGTGTGTCCCTGATTATTAGTTCATATCACATAGTGGCCATTAGCGTTTATTGTTATAAAACATCAATGTATAATCCGACTAATGGGCAGCTAAATTCCTCAACACCCTCGATTGAATTGTGAAGTTTCCCACCAATTTCATGACATTGGCACACGCATCACATCAAAACACTGTGATGAACGCAACGCATCACTTCAATTTGTTCGCAACGTTGACAGTTTGTATTAAAACGTATGCACCCGTATGTATGCATGTGTGTATGTATGAATGTTCGGTTGCTTGACGCTGCAAATATTTATTCCAACGCATTTAGTAGAGACGCTCGTTAAAGTGGATGGCGCACGTTTCGAATTATGAATATATCCATGCATATACTCGTATACTTATGTGCATATAATATATGCACGGTTATATGCATACTTACTTATGTCCACATTTCTGTGGTGCTCAAACATAGAAGCCTCCGTAAATTCAATCAGAGGAAGGGAAGGCCCCTCAGAGACAGATTCTGAACAGATTCACTCTGGCTTTAACACAAAGTAATTATTCGTGTGCTAACTTGGTAAATATTCTCCAGGTTTAAAAAGTTCGAGTATTTTGTTGTTGTCTTGAAATCGATATTTATTTTATACCTTTAATAATAATATACTAACACTATAAGTCAATATCTCAAATAGCTTTTGAGTTACAGGCTGCAATGCGATCGTTATCAAATTTTGTCTGCATGTTGTGTTCTCCATACAATGAATTTGGGGTAAACTTCAACTTTTTTTAAACGCCGCCCCTTCGTTTGTGATTTTTTCCGACCCTACCATAGGACAATATTTTTTGGAACAATTTCTCGTGTCTAAGTTTCATCCATGAAGAAAGCCGGAATCACTGCAGCAGTCGGGGGCCTTTTTCAAAGCGGCGTTAGAAATCGCGTCTAACTCGAAAAATATTAAATTATTTTCTTCCTAAATCTTAGTGTATATTGTTAAAATATGCGTAAACATACCCTTAAAATTTTAAAGCAATTGATACAATAGTTTCTCAAAACCGCCTTTTTTAGACTGTTACATTACTATACTTTGGGGTCCTCACATATCTCATGTTATCTCACGTATCCGCTTGAAATTTTAATTGTAGCTTCATATTTCATCTTTTTTATGAACAATTTATTGACAATTTTTTCGATCAAAAATTTAAGCTTTTTTCTACAAGTCAACAATAATAAAGTGATTAACAAGATAGGCCCGGAAGTTGCCATTAAAAACTATTTTTTTATATTTTTATAAATGCATGTTTAATAACTTCTGTTAAGGGAGATATTCAATTTCCTTTTTCGAACGCCCAGTTCGCTTTTGAGGCCTATAGACTGGCACAGTTGCTTAAGATCAAATGAAGCGATCAGTAGACAAACCTAGGTGCTAAAGGTGCCCAGCAGAAGTGTTTAAGAGCATTCTTTGGAGCTTTATAAGTGAATTGAAGAATTCTTATAACTTAACATCGTGTAAACAGGGCTCTATCGAAGGACCTGAGTAAGCACTGCAAATCGAAAGTCTTTTTCACTCGACCACTGTGACATACATATGTATGTATGTACATATGTCAATTAGTGGAATTAAGAAGAGTAAAAGAAGAATTCGGAGTATAAATAGAAAATTATTGAAATACTAAAGATAGTTCACTTAGTTCGGATTGAATATCGTGTTCATACATATATTATGCAACATAGGATTACATACAAATCTCAGATTAATTAGCATACAAAAATATTTATTAACCGAATTTTTTCCAAAAATTTGCACTAGTTAAAGTAAGGTTCTGAAAGATTATATGAGAACTGAAATCATTATAAGATTCATTATACTGGGTTAGGGATATGATTTTTCCAATATAAAATAGATATGATCGTATTTGTGAAACAAATTTTAACTTAGTGTTATCGGCACCCAAAACTTTAAGCACGTTTCTTTCGAGATACTGTTTTTAGCGTCGGTGAGCAAATTTCTCCGAAACGACTTGTTCGATCGGCTTGAAATTTTCACACCACCATCTTGAATTTAAATATACTTACATATGTATTTGTCAGTTATGCTCGAAGGAATAGAATTATTGATTATAATTTTTAATATTTCTTAAGCGACACTTAAGTGTAATTTTCTTCACAAAAAATACTTTTTTTTGTGAAGCCGCTATTTTGTTACAAATCAAAATTTTCATTATTTAGTTCATATCATTTTTTTTAGGTTTTGGATTTGAGATAATGTGAAAATTTAAGAAATGATAAAAAATTTACTTCAACATTTGTATTATTTCCCCTACAAGAAACTGCTGATGGGTTTACCAAGACACTCACATTTGTTATGTTATTGTTAAACAGATCCATCTTCGATTTTTA